TGAACAGCATTGCAGTCAGCAACTTGATTTTCTGCAATGATGGACGACTCTTGGTAAGGGTCTGCATAAACAAATGTAATCTTCCCTTGATATGTGGTAACTGCAGTGCAGGGAACTTGAGAACAAAAAGTTCTTTGTGTGTAACACAGAATTGGAGTCTAGGTCTCCCAGTGTGAATGTCAGGTAGGACACTTGAACCTCGTGTGGAATGAAGGACAGAGCTTCACTGAGCCGGGCTTCTTGAGCATTGCAGTTCATATGGCATCCCTGACCTAAGTTCTGCTTCCCGCAGGTGACAGTGGTGTCACAGTTCTTTTAACAACCAAAGAAAATGGCTGGGTGCCGTGCCTTATGCCAGTAATCCCGTCACTCTGGGAGGGCAAGGCAAGTGGATTGCTTGAGCTCAGGAGTTCTAGTCCAGCCTGAGCAAGAGGGAGACCCTGTCTCTACTAAAAATAGTAAAATTAGCCAGGTGCACACCTATAGTCCCAGCTACTTGGGAGGCTGAGGCAAGAGGATTCCTTGGACCCCAGAGTTTGAGGTTGTTGTGAGCTAGGATGACAATATGGTACTCTAACCTGGGGCAACACAGTGAGATTTTTGTTCCAAAAAATGACAAAGAAAAAGCTCCCCCCAAATGTCAATCTGTTTCCTTAGAGGCCAGTATCATGCTCCACCTGCAGCAGCACTGCTACACCTGGTTGCTGGAGAGTAAGTAATTGCTCTACACTGTGTGAAATTAGGAGGTGAGAAAAGAAGGGGGAGGGGAGCCAGGAGAACTGAAAACTAGGAGGAAGACCAGCTGCTGGTTTGTGTTTTTAGTTTTAGGATCGATCTTATAGGATTATTATTAATTATGCAGAGTGGAACATGAGCTTGGTTTGTGAAATTTGTGTTGTTCCAGCTATTGTAACATCCTGAGGGGTCATGTGTTGTGTGGCTATTGGACAGGTTTAAAGGGTCCTTTGGCAGCTGGGCAGTCAGGGTGGCACCATGGGTGAGCACAGGCCTCGGGGTCAAGTTGGTGAGGAGGTGGGTTTCAGGGTGGGATCGCCTGTTTCAGGTCTGAGCTTTAGAGAGGCCGCTTTCCAGCCTCTGTTTTTCTCACTGATAAAAGGTACAAATCAAATACCTACTTTGTAGGAGTGTTGTGGGAATTGAGTGAAATAACATGTTAAGTGACCAGAACATGGTTCAATAGTAGTGTTCTTTCCCTAAAAATGATTCTCAATGACCCTCATTTTTGCAATTTTTTTTAACTTTATTCAAATTAACACGAGAGTACAATATTTAGGTTACATTGTTCTCACTTTCAGGGCAAAGTTCCACTTGTAGAGGAGCCCCTCACCCAGAGCCGTGTCATACACCCTCACCATGGCACATTACGTGAGATCTGCCTCATCCCCTCACTCCTGCCATACGTCCTCTCCCCTCCCCCTTCCCTCTACCTCTACAATGGACTAAATAGCATTTTATTGTTCTTAGGAATATGTAATTGTTTACATATTGATTTCATATTAGTATGGAGTACATTGGGTATTTATTTTTCCATTCTTGTGATACTTTACTAAGAAGAATGTATTTCAGTTCCATCCAGGTAAATGTAAAGGCTGTAAAGTCTTCATCTTTTTTTTTTTTTTTTGAGACAGAGTCTCACTATGTCAACCTTGGTAGAGTACAGTGACATCACAGCTCACAGCAACCTCAAACTCTAGGGCTTAAGTGATTCTCTTGCCTCAGCCTCCAAAGTAGCTGGGACTATAGGTGCCTGCCACAACTCCCAGCTATTTTTGTTGTTGTTGTTGTTGCAGTTGTCATAGATATTTAGCTGGCCTGGGCTGGGCTCGAACCTGCCAGCCCTGGTGCATGTGGCTGGCACCCTCCTAACCACTCAGCTACAAGTGCCAAGCCATAAACTGCTATTTCTTCTACTTACTTCTCATTATTTTGAGAAAGTCAGAAAAGCCTGTTTTCAGTGATTTTTGTTAGTGAGCTAATTATACCATTGACTTTACAGTTACAATTAGGTGCTGTTATTGGCTTAACTGACTTTTCACCTTGTGGGAATAATGAAGTTTCTATGCTAGTGAATATTTCTGAAAACTTTTTTATTATTTGTTATTTTTATTTATTATTATTTATTTATTATTTTGAGACAGAGTCTCACTATGTTGCCCTCCGTAGAGTGCTGTGATATCACAGCTCACAGCAACTTCCAACTCTTGGGTCTAAGTGACTCTCCTGCCTCAGCCTCCCAAGCAGCTGGGACCACAGGTGTCCACCATAATGCCTGGCCATTTTTTTTGTTAAAGTTGCCATTGCTGTCTAGCTGGCGCAAGTTGGGTTTGAACCCATCAGCCTCGGTGTATGTGGCTGTCCCTGTAACCACTGTGCTACAGTCACCAAGCCTATTTTTATTTTTATTTATTTATTTTTTGAGACAGAATCTCACTGTGTTGCTCTCGGTAGAATGCTCTGGCATCACAGATCATAGCAACCTCAAACTCTTGGGCTTAAGCGATTCTCTTGCCTCAGCCTCCCGAGTGGCTGGGGTTACAGGCGCCAGCCACAACGCCAGCTATTTTTTGTTGAAGTTGTCATTGTTATTTAACTGGCCTGGGCTGGGTTTGAACCTACTACCCTTGGTGCATATGGCCGGCGCCCTCACCACTGTGCTACCGGCACTGAGCCTGAACTTAATTTTTTTTTTTTTTTTTTTGAGACAGAGCCTCAAGCTGTCCCCCTGGGCAGAGTGCCGTGGCATTACAGCTCACAGCAACCTCCAACTCCTGGGCTCAAGCGAGTCTCCTGCCTCCGCCTCCCAAGTAGCTGGGACCACAGGCGCCCGCCACAACGCCCGGCTATTTTTTGGTTGCAGCCGTCATTGTTGTTTGGCGGGTCCGGGCTGGGGATTCGAACCCGCCGCCTTAGGTGTACGTGGCTGGCGCCTTAGCCGGTTGAGCTATAGGCGCCGAGCCCTGAACTTAATTTTTTAACCAATGACATATTCTCAATCATTTTGCCAAATTACTCAGATTGTAAATGACAAATTTAGCACTGTAAATTTTAGCAAAATGAGCCATGTTTCTGAAGGGAAATAAGGTGAAATGAAGACTTGGTAAGCATGAGAAGTCCCTTTAAAATCTCCACACAACGCTTCCCTGCTGTGTCTTTTTTGCTCTCTTTCTACCATCGTGTGGATTTGGGCAAGTTGTTTTAACCTCTCCAGACCTCAGTTTCCTCATTTTTAAAATTAAGAGTTTGGATGAATTAATCTTTAAGGTTTGTTTTAGCTCTGAAATATTTTCATTTTAACACCTCATTTATTAATTAAGTCACTTTTATGAAATGCTATAATGTAAGATAAATAGAATTTTTCGAATTTTATAAAGAATGTGTTGGGCACAGTGGCTCATGACTATAACCTCAGTACTTCTTCAGGCCAAGGGTGGAGGAGGACACTTGAGGCCAGGAGTTTGAAACCACCCTGAGCACCATAGCCAGATATGATCTCTACTACAGAATGAAAAAAAAAAAAATTAGCCAGGCACAGTGGTACATGCCAGTAGTCCTAGCTCCTCAGTAGAGTAAGGCAGGAGGATTGCTTGAGCCCAGGAGTTCAAGGTTAACAGTGAGCTGTGATTGTGCCACTGCGCTGCAGCCTAGGGAATGTAAGCGAGATTCTGGTTATTAAACCAGAATAAAACAACTACTTACCAATTTTCAAATATAGGCTTCTATGTGTGGTATATTTTCATTGTAGTGAATGCATCATATACTGTATACCTCATGCAGATCTTTGGGAATATAACCTTTGATTTCAGCACTGTAAATGATAGACCACGTAGTTCAAACCACTGGAACACTTTGAAGTTGGTGAGATTTGAACTCAAGTCCTTGGCTCTGACAAATACCCTCTATGTGATCTTAGGCAAATCTTGCCAAGCCTCAATATCTTCATCTGTAATATGGGGATAATAAAATTCTTTATAAAGTGATTTGAAGATTATGTGAGATAATGAATGCAAATTGGATAGCATGGAGCCTGGCTTATTAGAAGCACTTAATAGGTGTTACCCAATGCTATCGTATGAAAATGTGTCCCAGATTTTATCCAGCCAACATAAAAACATATTTTATGATGAACCTTTAATCTTTAAACATTTATTCATTTATTTATTTAATTTATTTTTAATTTCCTTGAGATGATATCTCACTGTATCCCTTGGCTAGAGTGCAGTGGTGTGATCACAGCTCACAGCAATCTCAAACTCCTGGGCCCCAGCTATCCTCCTGTCTCATTCTCCTGAGTAGCTGGGACTACAGGCATGTGCCACCATGGCTGATTGATTTTTCTACTTTTTATAAAGATGGTGTCACTCATGTTCAGGCTAGTCACTATCTAACTCCTGGCCTTAAGTGATCCTCCACCCATGGCCTCCCAGAGTGCCTGAGCCACTGAGCCCATGACAGACCATAATCCCCTGAAATTTCAATATGGCCTTTAAGAAGAGGCAAGACCATCCTCTGTCCTAGGACACAGTAGTGCCATTTAACAAGAGCCCCGTGAGGTAAACTTGGCCCTGTTTGCAGCTGTTCCTTCTTGGAGCCCTGTTGTGGCTTAGGAACAGGAGGGAACTACATTACCCAGAGAGAGTTGCCTTGGAAGACAGCCAATATTTATTAATTATTTTTGAGACATGGTCTCACTCTGTCCCCCAGCCCGAGTACAGTGGTGTCATCATAGCTCACTGCAACCTCAAACTCCTGGGTTCAAGTGATCTTCCTGCTTCAGTCTCCTGAATAGCTGGGACTACAGGTGTGCACCACCTTGTCCAGCTAATTTTCTATGTTTTGTAGAGATGGGGTCTTGGTATGTTGCTCAGGCTGTGAGGTAGCTTTTCAAACTGAGGACAGTTTTGCTCGTATATTTATGAATAAATTCATGAGAGAATGTAGTCCAGTTAGAAAGTGACCTAAACGTTTCTTTTTCTTTGCAGATCTTATATTGTACTTCAAACACTCCTAAAGTAGACATGGAAAGACTGACAGGAGGACAAATAGGACTGAACGATTTCATCTTTGCCCACGTGAGAGGAAGGAAAAAAGAAGTACGTTTATGTAAATCCGAAGATTCACCTGATCTCATCCTTTCAGACAATGGTGCTGGCTGTGTTTTTATAAAGGTAAGATTTAAAAAAATAACAGTGTGGCCTAATTGAGGACATTTAAGAAAATCTACCAGGCCAAATGAGTTTAGAAACAATCTTCAGTATGAGAGCTGGCTCTGCAGGGATGCATGAAGTGGTGATGTTTCACTGTCATTTTAAAGGTCTTCAAGGCATTATTATATTTTGTTTATTTGCCATTTCCTAGAATTGATTCCCTTCAGCTTTATCTTCACTAGAATTTAGAACCTCCTGAAAAGGAGAGTCTGACCCTGGTGCCCACTCATTATCCAACTGAGCGCTCCCAGGTCTGTAGTTCTGATGACGTCCAGGCTGATTTCCATTGAGTGTTTCTTCCAACTGCACCCACTTTTGGCCACTCTGCTTCTTTAAAAATGCTCTTCAAAGTTTTCTGAACTATATACAATTTGCCTTCAGTATTTATGGGTTTAACAGTGGATTCAATCAACTATAGATTTAAAAGTTTTTAAAAAATTGTCTGTAGAGAACATGTACAGATTTTTTATTCTTGACATTATTCCTAAACAAAAAAGTATTAATATGACAACTATTTACACAGTGTTACACGATAAAAGCTATTGTGAGTCAGCTAGAGATGATTTAGAGTAGATGGGAGAGTGTGCACACAAGTTATTTGCAAATACTGCAGCATTTTACACCAGGGACCTGAGCATCTGTGGGTTTTTGTCTCCACCGGAGGTCCTGGAACCAATCCCTCGTGCTATGAGGGATGTGACAATTATAATTCCTTTATTTAAATACAAAGAGAGCAAGATAAAACTGCAAAGAAAAGAGAGAAGCTTGAAATTGTATGAAAATGATAAAAATTAAGGAATGATAAAAAGAAAGGTAGACTCATCTCTTTAAAATAACAATTCTATTTTTGTAACAAGTAGGTGTAATAATAGCAGCTGAGTCATGTCGAATGCCTACCATGTCCTCAGCTTCAAATGCCGACCACGTCCTAGGCTCTTTGCATCTACTTTCTCATTTAATCCTCACAGCCCTTCTATTTTGTTTGTTTTTTGTTTTTTTATTTACTTTTTTGTTGAGGTAACATATTTTTAACATACAGCTTAGTAAATGTTTGTATGTACACCTGTATGACTGTCACCCAGATCAAGGGTGGCATTTTTGCCACCCAGAAGGCTTCCTTATGCCCCTTCCTGGTCAGTACTCTCCCACATTCTGACCTGTGTTACCATTTGCTTGTTCTTGAACTTCATGTCATCACATGTCACTTACTCTACCATTTCTGGCTTCTTTTGCTTAACATGATATCTGTGAGATTCATCCATGGTTGGTGTTACTTGTAACCTCTATTCTATCAATGTAGAAGCAGGATCAGGATGTTACTGTCATTTATGTGAATGTTCCAATTGCCTGAGCTTTGCCCTGCAGGACTCAGGAAGGTTAAGTAGCTCGCCCAAAGTCATACAACTAGACAAATTCAAGAGTCGATCTAAGAGGTTTAACGTCAGAGCTGGCATTTCCATTCCCTGAGCTAAGAATTAATGATAGATGTCACACAACAGGGTGTGTTTTATGCCTTTGTTTTGTCCAAATCCTGATTTGCTGATGCTTTGTCATCTAAAAAGGTCTTAGGAAGTTATCATCTTCACTGTAAGTGGTGCTTGAACTTCCCACTTGATAGAAGGGCTATTTTTAGCTCTGTGAAGGCTGTGACTGGGCTGCAGGTTGACTGGGTGACCAGATGGAAAATCTGTGAGTTGGGAAAGTCATGAGGGATTATCCGAGGGAAGCTCAGGACACGAGGCACATGCAGCAGAGAGGACTTGGAAGTTTTGCAAATGTGTGCAGATTTTTAGGTCTTAGCCTCTGACATCCATTCAAAGCTTGTACTTCTATTTTTTTTTAATGACTCGTCAAACATTTCCCTGCCTCGGAGTACTAGTCACGGGTCTTGTGGAGACAGAGGACAGAGCAGCAGAGGAGAAAGTGAAGCATAATCTACACCGTGAACAGAGTTCAGTTTAGATGCTTGTCACGTGTGTGCATGGGTGATAAAATGTTATACAGTCACCCTGGGGTTGAGTGCTCTGGTGTCATAACTCACAACAACCTCAAATTCTTGGGCTTAAGGAATCCTCTTGCCTCAGTCTCTCAAGTAGCTGGGACAACAGGTGCCTGCCACAATGCCCAGCTATTTTTAGAGACGGGGTCTCACTGTTGCTCAAGCTGGTCTCAAACTCCTGAACTGAAGCAATTGGCCCACCTCTGCCTCCCAGGGTGCTGCGATTCTTTCAGAAATTCTTGGTGCCATCTTAGATCTCATTTGAGACCCTTATACCACAGATGTATTATCGAGAAGTAAGATAGATTTAAGAAAGAATAAGTTGAAGTTTTCCCTTGGGTCCTATGTCTCCTCATCTAAAATACATACATGGAAAACAATCACATAAAATCAGCCATACTGACTTCCAAAATGGGAATCCTACTTGTTTCTTGTTAGTTATCCACCTTCCTAGCTAAGATTATACCATTTTTGAGTGTTTGCGTTTATAATTAAATGTAGCCAATTGACAAAGCTCAAGCTATTCTTATGTAATGGGCTTCACATTGAAATGTTTCAACAGTCATTTATGGAGGGACTGCTCTGTGTGCCATTGTGCTAGGCCCAGGGTAAACTGGTGAATAAGACCATCTCTGTCCTCAGGGATATTGCATTTTTGTAACAGAGGCTGAAGAGTAAATGGACAGGTGCACTGAGCTCTGTGGAATCTGACTTGATCTTCCCAAGCCTCAGTCTTCCTGATCTATGACAGGAGAGTCTTATAAAGGGTGTTAGAATTCCGAGAAGCAGTGAGTGGAAAGTGCCCAGCCTCGGGTTCAGCGTATGTAACAAAAGATACTGTAGGAGGTGAGAGTGGCACCTTCCCCATTTTAGTGGGGAGTGGGAGTGGGTTGGGGGACTTCAGGAAAAGCTTCCCAGAGGCCGTGGTGACCGCGGCCAAGCTGGATTCTGAGGGATGAGGAAGATGAGGAGGGTTGGAGGAAGGTGGTGGCCGTGCTTTGTTGCTTTGTCTTTGATCTCTGATTAAACATTAAACTGAATTGTTAACAGGTCAGTACGTTGTCTGTAATGTCTCAAAAGCATGAACAATAATGTTACATAATGTTTTTGTATTATGTTGTCATTAATTTTCTTTTCAGAGAATTAGAGATGGTGGCATTATTCACTTAGTCCAAACCATTTGTGTGGGGGATCATATTGAATCTATAAATGGAGAAAGTGTTGTTGGCTGGTGTCACTATGCTGTTGCTCAGAAGTTCAAGGAATTGAAAAAATGGGAACACTTTACCATGACGTTAATAGAACCTAAGAAGGCACCTGGTAAGTGTGAGTGTGGGAACAATATCCCCCTTCCCTGGGTTACATTTCTCAGGGAAATGACACTGTGATGTGGTGACGTGAGCTTTTGATATATCTTCTCATCTAGCCTGTCAGTTAAGAACATTGAAAATGGTCAACAGCACTACTTATAAGGAAAATTACTATTGAAGGAAGAAAGAAAAGAAAAATGTTGCATTGTAGAAGGCCATTTTCCTAACCAACTTTTGGAGTTATAAGTCTGGGGACTAGTGACGGGTCTGACGCGCTGTCCAGCCTCTGGGAGCAGCCCCTGCCGTGTTTCCGTTTGGCTGAGCAGTCAGGTTTTCACTGAGCACTTTAAACTCTGATAACTGTTGCTCACGGGGCTCTGCAGCAAAAGTTTTAGTTACATACAGAATTGGTATTTAAAGAAGTTACCTCATCTGTTTTAAAGCCCTCTTTCCCCAGTACTTTTCCTCCATTGATATTTTGAATTCAGCACCAGGGGATGGTATGAAATTATTTCCCGTTTGCTGTGACATCTGTACTGGCTCGGTTTTAGCCAAGGCAGCTGTATTCCAAGTGTTGTTCAAACCCCCAGGGCCATCTCATCTACAGGAAATGTGCCAGCGTATCTCACCACACAGCACTATTTTGATAAGCCAATGAAGGCCTCGTGTTCATCAGTGTGAAAATATTCTGAGCAGAATCATCCCAGACTTGCCCTTGCTCACCATGGACAAACTGGGGAAAGTTGTGGAGTGGGGATAGAATGAGTAAAGGTACAGAAGTACAGGACAGGACAGCATCATGATTGGGACCACCAGGCATGCTGTTGTCATTGGAGTCGAGGTTAAGGGGTGGTGCTGACAGCTGCAAGTCAGCAGGGACCACGTTATCAGGGCCTTGTCTATGAAGGTCACATGGGCAGTGAGGACCAATGAAAGGGTTTAGGTGGGGGGAGTAACATGGTGACTCTTGATTTTAGGTATTTTGGACACTGTGGCAGAGAAAGGAGTGGAATGTGACATGAGTTCAGGGGATCATAAACATTCTGTTGTGTTAGCTAAGAGCAAGAAGATGAATGAAGGCATAGAGGAGGCATGACGGGAGTAGTGGTTCTGAGGAGTGGACGGTATGTGCTGGAGGTGTTGTACACGTCTCTTCCTGACTCCCCCGTCAATGACATCAGGCTGAAATTGGCTATGGTGGATATTCATATCATAGGAATCAATAAGCCCTGCAAGTCAGTGCTGTGTGTGTGGTGTGGTATTAAATGTTTCCCCGCATACCACTGAATGCACCATTAAGAAGGCTGAATTGTAACCTGTGGGATGTAGAGATGAAGAAAGGAGAGATTGCAACTGATGACCTCCAGGTTGGGTCTTGGGTGAGTATGGTGCCATTCTTGAGATAAGGAAGTCTGGAAAATAAATAGGTTTCAGTGAGGAGACAGGGAAGAGAGATTATAAATACAATTTTGGACCTAATGAGTTTGAAATCTGTGGGAGAGTTCAGTGGGGGAGATAGAAGGGGTAGATGAGGGCTGAGAATCAGAGCCCAGTGAATGGGGTTTATGAGCAATTGTCCTTCACTCAGGGAAGCTGTGGAAGTAAACTCACTCAGAGGGTAAAGGGATCAGACACAGCTGCTGAGGGACACACCAGCATTTAAGGGACACAAAGAGGAGGAGGGGCCAGCATAGTGAGGAATGGCCAGTCGTGGAGGAGGCAGCCTGGTCTATCCAAGTATCAAGATCAAGTCACTTGTCTCCGAGCAGATGCTCCCTAGCAGCTCCCCGGAGTTAGCTGTGGGGCTGTGGGGGAGGAATAAAGGCTGTTGTGAAATGTACCCTCAGACTCTCAGTGCCGGTCAGAATCTAAAACACTGTTTATCTCAACCAGTGTGTTTAGAACACCAAGTAGAATAGGACCGAACCATCACAGTACTTTGTACCTAAGAAAGGCAAGCATGTATCAGTTACAAACACCCATGTGTCAGTTCTTATATATGTTTGTGCACATTTATGGATCATGATACAATGTATATGTTTCCTACTGTGAGTCACAGCAAAAAAAATTGAAAACCACTGGTTGAACTGACTCCCTTGTTGAAATGTGTAGTTTAATGGGAAATGGTTCCCACACCTAACGTGGTGTCTCCTGGTCAGCTGCCCTCTGATCCAAGTTTCCTTCTTCCAGCCATGAGCTGATGGCAGCATTCCCCGTCCTTATCGAGGATCAGCTGGAATGTCTCTAGGGGCATTTTTTTAGGGCCTGGCTCACTTCCTTTCCCTTTTTGCCAATGAAAACGAACATGTCCTCACAATGAGCTCAGCCCCACCGCATGTGCCCTGTAAACCTAGATTTTCCAAAGGCTGTGAAAACCCACTTGTCCATTTAAGTGACTCACACCAGATAAGTCACCAGATAAGGAGAGTTTTGCTCCCGGCATTTGAAGTGGGACCTTTGCATGGTTCTCATTTTCAGAGAGAAACTGAGTGGTTTGTCAGGGAGGGAGGGGAAGAGCAGGGTCTCTCTCTGCGGTTGAAACACACCTGCCCAAGCAAATCATCTACCCTAGATGCAGGGCTCTGTTCACGTGATCCAAGCCACGGGCTGAGCACCTCTCCTACAGTAGCCTTTTGAGTGCTTAACATGACACTGTAAATAGGTGTTATTCTGACTTTACAGACAGAGGAGCTGGGGTTTTAACGCAGGTGCACTGACTCTGAAGTACACACTCTTAATTGTGATACTGGATAACAATATGGATTCAGTGAAGATAATTTTTCTTTGGGAGGGCACAGTGGCTCATGCCTATAATCCTAGCACACTGGGAGGCTGAGGTGGGTGGATTGTTTGGGCTCGGGAGTTTGAGACTAGATTGAGGAAGAGCAAGACCCCATCTCTACTAAGAAAAAACTAGCCGGGCATTGTGGCAGGTGCCTGTCCCAGCTACTTGGGAAGCTGAGTTAGGAAGATCACTTGAGCCCAAGAGTTTGAGGTTGCTGTGAGCTATGATGCCATGGTGCCCTACCCAGGGCAACAGAGAGAGGCTCAGTCTCAACAACAACAACAAAGAACTTTTCTCTTAGCTAAGCCATTAGATATAAATGATCAGAACACAGCTGAGAACTTTGCTCAGACAGAGGCATCATAATCCCACATTTAACATGAGTGTGAAGATGGAGATGATGAGACCTCAGTAGTAAAGTCCTTGCAAGATGTTTTAAAAGGACCAGATAATGTTTTTGAGAAGTCAGGAAAATTAAAAAGTCTTACTTTCAGCTGAAACATAATAGGAAATATTAAAACAATCTTTTTCTCACAGTTTTGAAGGGAAAGGGGTTGGCTTGCTTCCTTTCTGTGACCGAAACGTCACTGATGATTTTTTTCTCTCCCCTCCATTTCACAAAGGCCCTCAGCTCACTGCCTTGTACCTATTTCCAACTATTTCTAGATATTTCCAAGGTTTCCACTTGTCCCCAGAAGCAGGCTGGTCCTGTCAGGCCCCCTGCTGGCCGTCTCTGCATCCTGACCATTCCATTCTTCCCTCCTGCCATCTTTGGACTGTCTCTTATTTGCTGAGCAACTTGGAGGCAGCTGTGTCC